TTGAGCCGGTGAGATTAGAACCTCTGAACTGCAGATAACAGTCAGCTGAAGTGGCCTGCAGTACTGCACCCTAACCACTGCGCCACCTCGGCTCTTAATGTCTGGAGTGGGCTAGTTTTCGTATGATTAAGAAATCGGTAAATACCTACAATTTAGGCTAAAAAGCTTATGTCTTGTGGTCTTTTGCAACATTGTATTTCCTTCATAACATTTTCAATTGAATGATGGGGGGTGGGTTATTTGTATGTGGAATAGATGCTGAGGCGTGGCAAGGATGGCATTTCCTCCCGTTTCTGTTCCAAATTCCCCACATTTTGTAAACTATTAGACAGAAATGATTTGGATCTCATGCAATCATCAGCTCATTTCTCTGCTATTTTTAAGGCAGCCATTTTTTAAATAGAAGAATGGTGTTGTGCTCATCCAATATGCTACCTATAGCATATACAATGCATTCAGAAATCATTCAGTCCCCCTTCACTTTTGTCAATTTTGTTCTGCTGCAGCCTGATTCTACCACTGTTGAAATAATCTTTTTCTCATGAAAGTACCCCATAATGACAAAGTGAAAACAGAATATCACATTAGTATTTCAGTCAGTACTTTGCAACACCTTTGTTGAAGCACCTTTGGCTGAAATTATGTTCTTGAGTCTTTTTGGGTATGATGCAACAAGTCTTGCACACCTGGATTGGGGAATTTTCTGCAATTCTTCCTTGCAAATTCTCTCAAGCTCAGTCAGGTTGGATGGCGACTGTCAGTGGACAGCCATTTCAGGTTCCTCCAGAGATGTTCAATGGGGTTCAAGTCAGGGTTCTGGCTGGGCCACTCTAGGACATTAACTAAGTTGCCCCTAAGCCACTCTTGTGTTGTCTTGGCTGTGTGCTTAGGATCATTGTCATGTTGGAAAGTGAATCTTCAGCCTAGTTTGAGGTCCTGAGCAGAACAAATTTTGATTGAGGATATTCCTGATATTCCTCCATTCAGCTTTCCCTCAATCTGATGAGTCTTCCACTCCCTGCTGCTGCAAAACATATTCACAGCATGATGCTGCCACCATCATGCTTCACTGTTGGGATGGTATTGAGCAGGTGATGAGCGGTGCCTGGTTTCCTCCAGACATAACATTTGATCTTGGTTTCATTAGACTAGGGAGTCTTGCTCCTCACAGTCTGAGAATCCTTCAGGTGAGGTTTTTTAATGTGTGTGCAAATTCCAAGCAGGTTTTCATGTGTTTCTGTCTAGCCACCATAAAGCCCAGATTGGTGTAGGGCTGAAATGATGGTTTTTTTCTGAAACTCTGTCCCATCTCCACATAGGATTTCTGGAGCTCAGTCAGAGTGACCATTGGGCTCTTGGTCATCTCTCTTATGAAGACCCTTCTTCCCTGATTGCTCAGTTTGACTGAGTGACCAGCTCTTGGAAAAGTCTTGGTTGTGCCATACTTCTTCCATTTGAGAATTAAGGAGGTCACTCTTAAGAACTTTCAGTGCAGTGGAAATTTTATAAAAGCCTTCCCCAGATCTGTGCCTACAATAATCCTGTGTCTGAGACAGTGGAGAAACCCAAACATGTTCCCTACCGGTTCTGTGGGCGTGGCTTGATGGTCAAGTGACCGGGTGGTGAAACTCACTTAACAATGCTCATGCTTAGTAACTAAAATTTTGGGCTCAGCTGTGGTTATAAGTTCTTTCTTTCTTTCTTTCTTTCTTTCTTTCTTTCTTTCTTTCTTTCTTTCTTTCTTTCTTTCTTTCTTTCTCTCTCTTTCTTTCTTTCTTTCTCTTTCTTTCTTTCATTTCTTTCTTTCTTTTATTCTTTCTTGTCTCTCTCTCCTTTGCTCTTCTTTCTTTCTTTCTTTCTTTTTCTTTCCTTCTCTTTTTTCTTTCTTTGACTCTTTCCTTTTCACTCTCTCCCTCCCTCCCCCTCTCTCTCTTTCTTTCTTGTCTCTCTTTCTCCCCTTCCTTCCTTCCTTCCTTTCTTTTTCTCCTTCTGTCTTTCTCTTTCTTCTCTTTAGCAATAGCAATAGCAGTTAGACTTATATACCGCTTCATAGGGCTTTCAGCCCTCTCTAAGCTACAGAGTCAGCATATCGCCCCCAACAATCCGGGTCCTCATTTTACCCCCCTCGGAAGGATGGAAGGCTGAGTCAACTCTGAGCCAGTGAGATTTGAACAGCCGAACTGCTGAACTGCAGTCAGCTGAAGTAGCCTGCAGTGCTGCATTTAACCACTGCGCCACCTCGGCTCTTTCTCTCTCTCTCTTTCTCTCTCAGGATGCGCTCTGCTGCTGCTGCCACTGCTGCTTTTGCTGGGTGCATCTTTGCAGTAGAACTCCTTGACGTGGCGCAGTTCCATCATCTCTGCTGCCACTGCTGGCCAGCTTGTGAAGGCAGGCAAGCGGAAGGCCGCCTGGCAGGCAGGCAAGCATGTCGGGGCTGGTCGGCCGCAGGGAAGCAGCTAGCAGCCTACTCCCTTCCACACAGCCCTGTCATGCTTGCCTGCCTTCCACGCTATCTTCCTGGTAGTCCCACATGGCCACTTGCCTTCCAAAGTTGGTGTCCAGCATGGCCTGGCCAGTGGGTGGGCAGGCAGGCCCTTGGTGGAGACACAGCCGCTACTCTGGGGCTGAGAGGGGCAGAGGTGGTGGTGGTTTTTTTGGGGGGGAGCCGCCAGGCGGATGTCCTGGGGCTGCTGCACATATGCATTGCCTTCCCTCCCGGAGCACCACTGCCCCTCTCAGCCCCAGAGCAGTGATTGCATCTCCACCAAGGGCTGCCTATCCACCCACTGGCCAGGCTGGATGGACGTCAACCTTGGAAAGCAAGCGGGCATGGGGGACCACCGGGAAGGCTGCATGGAAGGCAGGCAAGCATGGCAAGGCTGCGGGGAAGGGAGTAGGCTGCTAGCTCCCTTCCCCATGGCCGACCAGCCCTGACATGCTTGCCTGCCTTCCATGCGGCCTTCCGCTTGCCTGCCTTCACAAGCTGGCCATGGGGACACCAGGAAGGCCACATGCAAGGCAGGCAAGCATAGCAGGACTGTGGGCCACAGAGAAGGGAGTAGGGGAGGCAGGCTGAGACAGTGGAAATCAGAGACTGGATGGGGCAAGCAACTGGTGACCAGGGGACCAGTTTATGGGCATGGCCAGCCAGCAGTCCCTGCTGGTTCAGCGACCCAGGCCCAATGTCCACTACCAGTTCTCTCGAACCAGTCCGAACTGGTAGGATTTCACCCCTGGTCTGAGCTCTGCGGGCACTTCTTTTGACCTCATGGTTTTTGCTCTGCTACTGTATGCATTGTCAGCTGTGAGGCCTTCTATAGAGAGGTATGTGTCTTTCCAAATCCTGTCCAACCATTTTAATTAACCACAGATGGACTCCAATCAAGACATAGAAACATGTCAGCAACTATCAAGAGAAATGAGAGGCACCTGAGCTAAATTTCACATGTTACAAATGGTCTAAATACATATGCTAAAGTGATATTTCAGTTTTTTCTTTTTAATAAATTTTACACATTTCTAAAAATCAGTTTTCAGTTTCTTGTTATGGGCACTGAGAGTAGATGAGAAAAGAAACTGTGGAATCAGGCTGCAACATAACAAAATGGACAAAAGTGAACGGGATCTCTAATACTTTCTGAATGCACTGTATATGTCTATCTTGAAAAGATTTGTGAAAAATAAACTTACCGGTAATGAGATCTTTTCTTTGGATTGTAGAAAACTAATTTCAACAAACGCAACAAAGCTCAATAATTAAAGATTCAAAAGATCAGGTTTAGAGTGTTTGGAGATCCTGAACACCATTAAAGCAGAACTGACTCAATTAGATGCAAGATTGGAGGACTGAAACCTTCTCTTTAGCAGTTTTTTTTTTGTGCTCTACATACTAGTTTACAACCCTTTCATCCCATATATTAGCTCCTATTGTGCCACTTTTGAACATGAGTTCAATAGTCTTCTATAAGAGCACTACATCACTCCTCCCCAAACAGTCCTGCTAACAGGTCAGTGTGTTAGAGAAGGCATTGGATAAAGTTAGAGGGAGCCCCCACCCTCCACCCACCCTGCAATGCATCAATGAGCCCACAGTTAATTTTAATATTTTATGAAGAGCAACACCTGCCAGTCTCATTACTTACTGTAGGTTTATTGGTTTGTTTGTTTATGACTAGCCATATTATGTAGCACAACTCTAAGCAGCTCATTACAATAGTAAAAACCAAAACTAAGCAAAATCAAAACATGGCAATCAGGCCATCACGTATCATGCCAACACATTGATTCTAAGAGAGAAAGAATGCAATTGTGATAATTTTGCTGCTGAATCTGGAGGTTTTAATTATTACCACAGCAATTCAATTATTATAGCTTATGTTTCTACAAGAAATAGATTAAAGATACCGATACCATTCTCAATAAAAACAAGAAAAAAATTAATAACAAGTTTCTCTTAAACAAGCAGATTAAAAAACTTACATGGAATAAGTGAATAAATTCTCATTAACAAGGAAAATACAAGTTCAAAATATCATAAGTAAAATATTTCACTTCATTAAATCAAAGGAAGTAAAATATTTTACTTCTGATATTTTGAATTTATATTAAAATGTCTCCATAATAAAAAACTTAAGGAAATAATATGAACAATATAGAAATCAAATAGCAAAGAATAAACTGATGATTTACCATAGGTCCTTTAAATTATGCCCTGAGTGTTTTAGTTCTTCACAGAGTAGCTTCGTCTCATAGTCACTAATGCAGTCACCATGCAAATAAAATTCTTGTAGGTTCTGGTTTATATTGACAATTGTCGCAATCTGTGTCCCAAAGGAGAGAGAGTGCCCACAGAATACTTTTAAGTACTCTCCATTAATGCTACAAAGAAAGGTTAGAATTAGTACAAATAGATCTTTAAAATCAACTAGGAACAGATGTCTTGAAGAACCTGGAGGGAATTTCATTATTTGTAGTCTCCCTGGATATGTTTACAAGAGATCAATTAGCAAGAGATAATTGTACTCTTCTAACTGAAAATTCTGTTCACCTACATAAATCGCTCTCCATGTTTGACCCCTTCACACAGTGCTTATTAACATTTTCAAATTTAATAGCTGGAAAAATAGGGGTTGTACCATGAGTCAGAACAGTTGTAGTTGATTGGTGGAAGACTGTTGGTTCCTGCATGAGGCAATCTAAATTGTAATTGGTTGCTGTGGGTATAAAGGAGGAGCTTCCCTGTTTTCCCACCTGAGAGCATGTGATTTACCTCATGGTGCTCCTATTTGCCTGACTATTTGTTTGCTGGAAAAGTAGAGGTAAATATATTTATTTATATAAATAAATAAATAGATATATTTATTTATATAAAACCACAAGTTTGTGACAGCATCACTGACTTTATCTAGACACCTGCTGCACAATTCCCTGACAGATTATTGGCTCAGAAGTGCCCTGAAGCACCAATAGTACGTTTCTCTGAGGTAACAGTTTTTTCATGAACCTGAGGAAGGTTGAGGACAATTGGTCTATAAAGACAGCACAATGCTATCTGTTATAGAAATAGCTTGTCTTAATGAGACAAATTATCTCTCATGGAAATTAAATCTGTATTCCAGGGTTCCAAATCACTCCTATCAGTAATGACATTCTATTTTCTTCACTACTAGTTCGGTAGCGGGAGCGCGCGCACATGCCTTCTATGCATGCGCAGACGTGCCTTGATGATGTCCGAGTGGGTGGGCGGAGTAGACTGACTCCTATCCAGGTGCAGGCTGAATGTCCTTGACTCTCAGAGAAAAGAATGTTGTTATGGCTATATATCTTCACTTACTCCATGCAAATCCCCCCTGCCATTTCCCCAGGCACTAAATTAGGCAGCCCTGAAGTTCCATAGAAAAAGATGACTTCCACCGCTGATATTAGAGGTGTTTTTGCAGAGATAGATTTGTGGCCAAGTGGTTAGCAATCTTTTAGCAAATCTTAGTGAGGAGGGGAAAGGCAAAATGAAAAAGCACTAGCTAACATAATTTTGTGCTTGTCAGAAAGGCAGCACATATGAATGGACTATCATCTGCTCATCTTTTCTTTTTTGTTCTTTATTTTTTATTATTTTTTATTATTTTGTAACTTCTAATCTATTTGGTTTCAATATACTCCAGACTTTGCTTGATAAAGAACGATGCCGGGAATGGGACCTGGGAAGTCGGAAGGGGATCAGGGAGGGGGGTTCAGGGGGTGGGTGGGGGGGAGGGTGGAAATATAGACTCAATTTTCAGAACAATGAATGCACTTGGATACTGTTGCTTTTTTTCCCCTTTTTTTCTTTTCTTCTTTCTTTTCCTTTTATTTTTCTTTTGTTTTAGTACAAAACAAATAGACCAATGAATACTAGAAATACACCGAAGCGAGGTGTAGAGGGAAAGAAGAGGGGGGAATTAAGAGGGAGTGAGAAGGGAATGTAAGGAGGGTGAGATGGTGGGAAGGGGAGAAAGGAATGGCTGAGGGGGAGGGGAAGTAGAAGAGGGGATTGTTGGAAGGGAGAAATGAAAGTTGGAGGGGTAGAAGGAAGGGTGTATGTAGGATAGAAGTGTTATGAGTTGTTTATTGCTTCTTCTTTTTTTAACTGCACAGTATTTAAGTGATTGTATAAAGGAAAATGAAAATGTAATAAAAGAATCTTTGATTGTAGAAAGGCAGCACATATGAATGGACTATCATCTGCTAGAGAATACTAGCTTAGCTTACACAGAATTTATATAAGAGAGACTGAAAGCAGCAAAGTAACTTTATAGAACAAGGCTAAAGTATGGAGAAAGTTTGTTAGATCGCCTCTAGTTTATGAGGAAACCTTCCTTGAATTAGAAGAGCGAGGAATGATGTTTTCAGAAGCACACAAAGTATATGTTGTGCTGAGTTCCCTTGATAATACTTAGGATTTAGGATATTTAGTCATGGACCCTTGGCCACGCCTCCTTCACCTCCAGCCACCCGCCTCAGACCCTTCCTTCCTTCTGATTAAATGGCTCAGCTCCTCAGTTCTTTTAATCCAATATTTTTCAAAAGTACGGTTTTTAAGTTTTAAATCCAGACAATAAAAATAATAACAGGAGAAAGACAAAGCTTCTTCTTAATTCTTCCTTTTGTTGTTTTCCACCTCCAATGAATTAGACTGAACACATTAAAACAAAGCAAATCCCCTTGATCTTGGTATATTAGCCACCGTTTTTCCCATTCTTTCCATGAAGTTTCCAACTGCCAATTAATCTCTATTAAAAATGCAATCTTTCCAGGTCCAAATTCAAAGGTTTTTTATTCCGGTGGGCTAGTCGTTTCTCATTTTTGCCTCCAAATTATTGAAGCTGACAGTACTCTTTGGGCTTTGATATTTAAACTACCATTTTTTCTTTCTCTTTCCTTTCTGTGAAGTTCCCAATTTATCTGTTAATGCTGTTTCCAAATCACAGAATTCTCTCCCAATTCCCAATTCAAAATTTTATATTAGTAGGTTATTAAATCTTCTCACCCGATCTCCATACTTTGTCCAAACACCGCTCCTTACTTAGTCCGGATGCCCTAGCTTCATAGTGGACATTTTGCAATGTCCGCCACCCCCGCTGCCAGATCGTAGAGCTTGCCTTTGACCTGCAAGGAACCAGTTTCGCTCCTCTTGGTCGCTCGAGACACAGTTCCTTCTTTGTCATCCCTTCAGGATGGTAGAAGACCCCCCCCCCCAACAATGACTTGTCAGCCAGGATGTTCCCGGCGCTCATCAGACACAGTAGGTTTGATTTAAAATATTGTGGCAACTATTTGGATTGTACTATTTGCAAAGAGGGAAATCAGAGGTACTGTATATCAGGGGTGAAATGCTACTGATTTGGGCCAGTTCGCCTGAACCAGTAGTAAAAAATGCTACCGTTCGCCTGAACAGCTAGTAAAAAAATGCTTAACAAAATTAAAAAAAGTTCTGATGATCAGCTGTGCTGTGCGATGGTAGGATTTTTTTTTGTTTTAGCATTTGGGGTCAGTTTTTGTTCCCAGGAGGATTCCCTGAGGCCTGCTAGGCCAAAAATGGGGGGATTGGGGGGTTAAGCCTGCTAGGTCAAAAACAGAGAGAAAGGGGGGGTACTGTCAAGCCTCCAACTAAAGGGTGTTAATTGGAGGCTTGACAGTATGTGCCAATACTGAAATTTTAATGCCTGTTAGTCAGAGATCTCCAATAGATGAGAATTGACACAGGAATGTTGAACAAAAATCTGGAAGAGTCTCAGGATCTGAAGGTAGCTCAGAGCAATGCTTGGAGACTCAGATTACAGTGAAACACGGTCAATTTATTTCAAGGAAGTCTGAAAGATCAAACAAAGGTGTTTCTTCAGAAAGATTCACAATTGATTAAGTGAAGGTATGTGGCATTTTTTGTGAGCATCAAAATTACTGGGAAATGTTGAATTTGCCTATGGCAGAACAAAAGAAATGTAAAGATAAATAAAGAACTATTTAGGAGTAGAAATAAAGAAACTACAAGAAGGATGGTATGTCCTAAGTCAAAAGAAGAAAATATATAATTGTTGAAGGATTTGGATATTGAAGTGAAAAGAGCTATACCAGTGTTTGAACACAGCATGACATGTATACAGAAGACAAAAGATGAGAGTAAAAACCAGAAACAAACATGTTGACATAAAATCTTGTAAAGTCAGAGATGGAGTGAAAAAAATGTAATACACCTAATTTATTGTCCACCCGAAGATAATTCGGCTGATCTCATAAAGCAATTAGGTACACAGAAACACAAGGACCTTATGAAACAACTTTGTTTAAATACTGTAAAGTTATAAATTAGAGGGGTGTTATTTAAATTTAGTAGCTGGATAAGTGGCAGTTGTATAATGAGTCAAAACACACAGTTATAGCTGATTGGTGGAAGAGAGCTGGATCCTGTGTGAAGCAATCTAAGCTGTGATTGGTTGTTATGGGTGTTAAGTTTTCCTTTTTTTTCTGACAGTGCTTCTATTTTTTTCTCATCCTTAACATGGACAAACTGAGGCTTCCTGGGAGGAGCTTGCTGGTGGTGGCAGCAAAAAATCAGCTGCCTCCGAATTCCTGG